AGTGAATGAAGAAAGCGTACTGCTCAGATGATGACATTTAATTGGAGTGCTAGACCACTGAATTTGTTTAGCAGTTTACATATATAGGACAACTTGCAGATGGACTGAAAGTTGACTAGGAAGAGGAAAATAATAATTTGGATTAGGAAATGGTGAAGTGCTTTCTATGATTCTAAGCTGCTCCCACACAAAAGTTCATTTTTTCAATGACAACATTCTCCTGGTGATGTCATACAGTATTGAAAGAATCCAAATTATTGATGAACCAAAGGCAATGGAGACATGTGGATAGAGGGCATAAGCATACCAATGATATCTGAATGAAAAGGATTATCAAGGACTTATATGAGATAAAAAAAGAGGTATTATAATCATAGAGTAAAAGTAAAGGCAGTTAGATAGTCAGCTTAAGCATTGTAGATATCCACAAAATATTAAATGGACTAGGAGAAGGTTGTTTCTATGGTGCATTTAGACATGAGCAAGAATCAAACAGGCTTGAGAAAATATGGATTTTCATCTGAAATTTCATCTGAACCATCACAGATCCAATAAGATAATTACATTAATTAATATGGCTTCTTTTGTCTACAAGAAGACAGCTTATGCCAGCTATAAAAAAGCTTTCCTTTCTGGGAAAGGTCAGTGTCCACACATTCAGATCTATGCTGTGATCCTAGCTTCAGAACTTTGAAATTTCAAAGAGTCTATGATTTGATCATTGTGGGTATTACCTCCATGAACACAAATGGTAACTCCCTCATCACTGAATGTTGCTGTGACCTAAAATTTCACATTCTGCCAACAAGATGATGAGCAATACAGAATTCTTCTTGGCTGGTACTTGGACAACATCTATATAAAGATTGTCATTGAGTCCATTTCATCATCTGTAAAATGAGCTGGAGAAGGAAATGGCAATCCACTCCAGTATCTTTGTCAAGAAAACCCCAAATGGAGTCATGAAGAGTCAGACACAATGGAAGACCATGACCAAAACTATACATAAGAAAATTAGTCTGGCAGTGATATGAAGATATGAAGGATGAAAAGGCGGATGAGAACAGAGGCCAAAAATAAAACCTTGGTAAGAGGCTATTTCAGTAGTTCTAGTTAGGTGGTAATGAGGGTCAGTACTAAGGGGATAGAAGTAAAATCATGAGGTGTTGGGAACAGATTTGTTTAGATAGAACTGACAAGAGTTAACACATTTGTGATAAAAGAAAAGGAAAAATCAACAGTGATTTACAAGCTTTTGAACATGGGATACCTTATGAATAGTAGTATAGTACTACTGACAGAAATACTGAACACAGAAGGAAAAGTAGGTTTAGGGAGAAAAGGTAATAAATTCATTATTGACTATGTTGAATTTGGGGTACTGGGCAAAGCTGTGTCTTACAGGTAATTGGAGATTCAAATCTGGGTTCATAAGATAGGCCAGATCTGGATAGCTAGATTTGGGAGTAATTGCTATAGAGAGAGATATACTAGTTGTTGAGCTAGAGTTGATGACACCAAATAGATGTGTCTGCAATTAAGGAAACTGGCTTTCTAGACTAAAAGCATGAAATGTCCATCACAAGGGGAACAATAAGAAAGGAAGGAAGGAAGGAAGGACGATGGATAGAGTGCTTAGTCTGGAGTTGAGAGACCTGAGATCAAATCCAGTCTCAGACACTTACTAGCTATGGGACCCCGGGCAAGTCACTTAAACTGTCTGTCTCAGTTTATTCACCTTGAAGAAATGGATCGTCAATATTGAATTATTTACAGTGGAACAAAATCAAGTAGAATGAGGATAGATCCATTTTGATTGTTGTTGTGTCGTTTCAGTCATGTCTGACTCTTTATGACCCCATTTGGAGTTTTCTTGACAAAGATACTACAGTGGTTTGCCAATTCCTTCTTCAGGTCATTTTATAGGGAAGGAAACTGAGGCAAACAGGATTAAGTGACTTCTCCAGGTTCACACAGCTACTAAGTGTCCAAGGTCAGATCTGAGCTCAAGAAGAGGAGTCTTCCTGATGCCAGGCCAAGTGCTCTATCAATTGTGCCACCTTGCTGCCCCTCCATTATGATAAGTTTTAACAATTAGAATACCCAGAAGAACTCATTATACAAAAGGAGGAAAAGCCAAGATCTGAGGAATAACTAGGGTGGAACAACCAGTGCTTTGTTGCCTACATGGGTAGAACACAGTAACTAGCATATAATAAGTACTAAATCAATGCTTATTGACTGATTGATGGAGGTAGAATATCTGGCCCATTGTCCTTGAACTGCCCAAGACATGTGGGTGGAACTTCCTCAATCCATCAATAAACTAAAAATCACTAGTGTCCCATCGCCATGGTGACTCTCTACTCTGGTCTGCTTTGCCTCACTGCCATGTCTCTCTGCCTCATATTGGTAGATTTGGGGAACCATTGGGCATTCTATGGTGTCTCAAGAAGGACTCTTTTGTGGATAGCTTGCCTTTTTTCTAAGTGTGTCCTCACCAGTGGACTCTCCTATGTTCCCTTCTCCACTCATCAATTGAGTTTTCTTCAAGAGTAAGAATTTCTTGCTATGGTTCTGTTAGGATATGGGCAAAAATGTATTACTTTAGCCCTTCCATATTACAAGCACAGAGAATGTTAAACTGGGCTTTCAGAAGACTTTGAGAAAACTATGAATAAATGAAATGAATGAATGAAAGGTGCTGCCTAGTACTCAGTTATGGAATCTGACCATCCATAGTGATAGTCACATGGCCACAGCAGATCATAGGAAATCCCCTTTGGAAATGTGAAGTTTGATGTTAGTTGTAATTCTACTTAGTCTTCCATTAAATTGAACAAACATTTATAAGCTCCTACTATGTGCCAGATTCTGTACTAGTCACTGGGACACAAATACAAAAATGAAACAGTCCCTACTCTTAAAGAGCTAGTATTCTATCAGGGAAAAATGATATGATCCTACATGTGCAGAGAAAATTAAATACCAAATGTATATAAAATAAATAACATATAAATATTATAACACAATAATAATGAAATAATCACTATGAAGGATACTAAAAGCTGAGAGATTTAATACTGGTTTCCTATAAAATATAATACTTGAGTTGAGCTTTGAAGGAAATTATGGAATCTAAAAGATTGGGGTGAGGAAGGAGTATATTCTAGGTATGAGGGACAGCTTGTACAAAGGCACGGATGGTAGAAGATGGAAGCTTCTGTACAGGAAATAGCAAGTGGACCCATTTTGGTGGAATATACAGTGCATTGAGGAGAAGAATGCAATGAACTTGGAAAGGGAGATTGAAGCCAGATTGTAAAAGGGGCTTTAAATGGCAAAGTTCTTGAGCATAGTTTCAAGTGTAATCCACTTGTATATCCATTTGTGTTTCTTGAGTAGGAAAGTGACAGGAGCAGGGGCTTTATTTTAGGAATATCAATTTGGAATTTAGGCAGAGGATAAATTAGAGAAGAGAGCAGAGGCACAGAGACAAATTAGGAGTCTACTGCAAGAGTCCAAGTGAGATGAGGGCAATGGCTTTTTGAGCTGAGAGAAAAGCACAGATATGAGTTATATGTGGAACAAGAATTAACGAGAATTGGCAACTAATTGTACACAAGGGGTAAGGGAATGGGATGAATGGATGATGACACCAAAGTTGTAAACCGAGGTGACTAGAAGAAGAAATAATTAAGTTAGGAAGAACTGAAAGTTTTATGAGAAGGATAATGAGTTCTGAATTGCATATGTTGAGAGTAAGCTATGTAGATGAGTTGGCAATGTTCAAATACCTTGGTAGAATATATGGTTAAACATTATTTTGGGGCAGGTATGACTGCATGGTGGGAAGGGAGGGATGGAGCACTTCTTTTTATCCACTGGAATACCAAATATCCTAGCACAGTAAGAGAGTTGCTTCCTAGGTATTGTTGTGGACACACAACCAGACTTGTATCACATAACTAAGATGAAATGAGACTTTTAAAAATGCAAACTAATATTTAAACATGTGATGGCACTTTTGCTCATTTGAGTTTCTAAAGACTTGGAAAAGTCAAAATCAATTTGTTATTCATCTCATTACAGGCAGGAAAACCACCCACTCTTCTTAACATTTGCAGTGAAGCACAGCCAAACAGCAGTTGTGACCTCTATTCTTACAGTAGGAAATTCTGTCTTATTGATAGGGTTATTATTTTTTCTGGAACTAAACAGAGTTCTAAAGACATATGCATTATTTTCTCTTTTTGAATATCTATTTTATAATTGAATAAACATTTTAGCAGCAGACATGTCATCCTTTCTCCTTCCCTCCCACAGAACTCTCAAAAAAAGACATTTAGCTCTTGGCTCCCAGACTCAAATCAGAAGTGCAGCATTTATTTTAAATGAGAGGATTTTGTAATTTTAAGACTACAGAGAGCTTAAAAAATAACTTGAAGAATGCTTCTATAGGTTCAGCCTTCTGCTGGCCTGTGATGGTACATTATGTTATGGGCAAGATCTCTGTATTTAAGAAGGCCAGGATTGCTCAGCTCTTCACTTTATTTATAGAGAAAAAGGAATACAGAAGAATGTCTCCTCCAGATATAACAAAGAACAATCCTATCACTGTCCCTCTTAACCTCCCTCCCTTTAAAAGGTACAATCTTGGGCTTGTGGATACCTATCATAATTGAAAAGCAATAGAATCCCTCATGTAATGTCAAGGTGGAGTGAAAAGAACATAGGACTAGAGGTGATGTGTTACTTACGTTGGCTGTTAGACCATTGCAATTGTATGATAAAGTCAAACTTCAATAACATTTCTTATTTGAAAGGCTAACTCCTATGGTGAAGCTACCACTCTTTCATTGTTTTATTATTGTTGTTTTTGTTACAGTTATTTAGGAAAAAAAATTAACTAATATTCAACTTGACAAAATACTTTCAGCACAAACTGTGTGCAGAAAACTGGGGAAGAAGAGAATTGAGACTGATGGCTGCCAACCTACCTTTGGAATGCACGTGGCAGTTTCTGAGAGGCGAGGGTAGGTGTAAGAGCTATATGAGTGCCCTTGTGGGTTTGACTTAAATGCACTTGCTCCATATGGCATGGCAGGTTCCTGAAGCCCAGAACCTGATCTTGATCTCTGTCGCATGGCTGGCTGAGGGCTGGTCTGATTTATATATGAAGACTTTGGTCTCCTATCATAATCATCCATGCTGGGCCTCCATTCACTTTCACTGTACACCAGGCTTTCTTTTGAGCATTCACTTATCCCTGCAGTCCTAGAGGGAGTTAATTGAAAGGGATCTCGGTAATCCAGAGGGGATCCAGTTGAAACTCTGTGATAGTCCCACTTGAAGCCACAATATTCACTTGGTTTATTTAGCATATCCATGTGGGTGTGATAATCTGGAGGAAGCCTGGACACATCTGATTTCAAAGCCTGTATGTCAGAATAATAGGCATCATCAGATTTCATTTTCACTGTATGTCCATTTTGCTTAGATGCTTGACTGCCTTCATAATATCGATCCAACTCATCCCCATATGGACCCTTTTCTCTGTATTTTTCTGTCATGTAGTCAGTGGTAGTATCAGATTCACTGGAGTACTGAGAAAATGTGATGAAACCATTTTCTTCTGAATGTCTCTGGACATAGTTTGAAGTACCCTGATGAGGAGTAGGAGGACTTTCTTTCCTTAGGGAATTGGAACGAGTCACAGAAATATTGTCAAATTCTTCTAGCAAACCATTGATTGAAGTTTCCTTGCAGGGTTTATTTCCCCTAACAATTGTCTGGAAAAATGAAAAGAAATATTTTTTTTTGAAGAATGCCTTAACATTTGTGCATTAAAAGTAAAACAAAAACAAAACCAAGGAAATAATCCCTCCTTATCCCCCCAAAAAAACACCTCACACTTGGCTCTGAAATGAAACCACTGAAGAAATGTATTTCTTGGCTCATGAGATGTAGGATTTAGGAACATTGGATTTAGAGTTGGAAGGGATCTTAGTGTTTATCTAGTTTAACCCTGTCATTTTATAGATGAGGAAATTTAAACCCAGATGGACTTACCTAAGATCACATGGGTAATTAAAAGCATAGCTGAGATTCAAACTCAACAAACATTTATGTATTAATTGATTTCAATGACACAATGGGGAAAAAAAGCAGCAAAAAGTACCAATTTCAATATGCCCAATTATTTTCCTTATTTATCTCAAGAATAAAATTGATTTCATCACACATCTAATAATGTTTTTAAAAAGTTTATTATTTTATGCTGATTGTTGATAATGGTTATTTACCTACATAAGGCACCAATTAGCCCTCTACTTTCCCTTTTCCCCAACCCAACAAGCAAAAACAATCTAGAAATAGAGATAATTATCATTTCCACAACCCACAATTATTATTATATAAGTAGTGCTATTGGGGGACTGTTAAAAAAAGACAAAAAAACCCATGAACTCATTTACACACATTATATTATGACTACATATATGTATACTTGTATGAGCACATGCATGCATATATACATGCATGTAATAGCTTCCTACTGGTTATAAAGCACTTTCTTGGAACAAAGTTTAGATAAGGCAAAGAACCTACCCTTGAGGAACTTACAGTTTAGTATTCAAAATAAGAACCCATCATGCATATGAATATGGTCAAGTACTTTTTTGTAAGTCTGATTTCATAGGCTTCAAGTGTCCAAAATAGGTTAGGCTGAGTGAAGAATATATCCCATCGATCCCCACACAGAGTGAGTTCTCCCTCTTGAAGGGAGTGTCCTCTTCACATATATGTAAGATGACAAAGGATGGTCATTTTTGGATGTTAGCCCAAGCGTGCTCTAGGATCATGTGAAGAAATAGGCAAGAACACAGCTGTGTTCCAACCTACTACCTAAAAGTGTGATTCTTCAACATTTGATTTATTTCTTATATGCTCAAAAAGCAAATCTACAAAGCATGTCTGTGCATATATATATATATATTCTCATTCTTTTGGAAGCCCTTCTATGCACAAGCTTATCTCTGATGATTTGTTTTGCTTCTTTTTTGTTTCAATCTTTCCCTGGGGATATCAGTCGAGCAAAATGACCAATTTACTTGTTTCTAGGGGACATGTGGGTAAGGCAACTGCAAAGAAAGACTAAATGTTGGAGATTTCAGGATAAACCTTATTTAACTTGTCCTTCTGCAAATCTTTCATTGAATGATAGTTAAGTAATGCTACCAGCCACAAAACAGAAAAATGATAGATATCCTTGGCTTCCCTATGGATCCAAATTCTACCACATATTTTCTGTGTGATCTTGGGATAAATCCTCATATGGAAGATGAACAGTTGGACTAAATGATTAGAATCCAATTTTTATTCTATATGTGGTTTTATTTTTTCAAAGAATTTTTGTATGCAGCAACTTATTGGTTGGGTTTTGTTTTCTTATCTATTCTATTTTCTTTTGCTGGGAAATTTAATCCATTCACATTTAAACATATAGTAGTTAGGTTTGTGCTTTCTTTTACTTATTTTTTTTTCATTGATTTTGTTCCTGTTATTAGTTTTGTTTACAATGACTGCATTCTAGTCTTTTAAAAAATTCACCTTTGTTATAAATTTAACCAACATGAACATTTTAATATGTTTAGAGGAGATTGTATATGAAACTGAACTTCAATCACATACTTTTTTTTAAATTGGAGTGTTAAAATTAACAAAATATGCCTTCTACTTATAGGCTATTCTATAATCTCCTCTATTGTTATTAAATAGTTCACTAACTCATTATTTTTCCTTTTTCCTTCTTTGTAATACTAACCTTTTCCCAAAGTTTTACCTCTCCTGTTTAGCCTACTCTATCCCAGTTTCCTTGAGTATACTTAAATTGTTAGTTTCTCTTTTTATTTACCTCTACTCTCTCTCTCTTTTTTGCTTAGAATCTCTTTGGAATGCTTTGCTCACCTCTTTTTTTTTTCAAATATAATGATAATAGCTTTTTTTTTCTGTTGAAGGTATTTTTTTCTGTTGATAATTTGGCTCCCCTTGGCAGGATACGTTATTTTGGAGGGCAACTTGTTTTCCTTGGCTTCTTCAAATATTATGTTGCAATCTTTTATCTGATGAAGAATAGTCCTAGGTTATTATAAGTGATTTTTTTCTACCATAGCTAAATGTTTTTCTCTTGAGTGATTGTAAAACTTAGTAATTTTGCATTGAAATTCTGAAATTTAATCACTGTATGCCTTCAAGTTTAAAGCTTAGTGTTTTACTCTTTTGGTAATGTGAGGATTCTATCATTCAGTACTTTGCCATTTGTTTTCAAGATTTATAAGCAATTTCTTTTTTATTTTTCCCCACAGCATGGTATTTAGGCTCTTTAACTCATCTTGTTTTATGAAAGACCTATAATACTTAAAATTATCTTTCTCCTTTCTACTCATGAGGCACCCTTCCTATTTTCCATAGTCATTGAAAGATCAATGACAGTGGCTCAGCAATGACATTTGCCATTTCATATCATAGAATTAGGGTCAGCTAGAACAGGGAATGAATTCTGTTCCATTTTTCTTTTGTCTTTTCCAATCGAAGTTCATAGTTTTAGAGTTGGAAGTGACTTCAGAGATCATCTAGTCCAACTTAGGGGGATAGATTAAACAGTGAGTTGGAGTGCTGGACTTGGAGTCAGGAAGATCTGAGTTCAAATCCTGCCTCAGACACTTACTACCTGTGTTACCCTGTGCAAGTCACTTAACCACCCTCGGCCTCAGTTTCCTCATATGTAAAAGAGAACAATAATATTACTTCCCTCACAGATTTGCGGTGGGGATCAAATAAGATAATATATGTGCAGCCCTTTGCAAGTCTTAAAGTACTATATAAATTCTAGCTATTATTATTATCATTAAAAGCAGTAGTAGTAACTCTTTGTTTAAATTATTTGCCTCTAAGTAGTCAAATGTACCAGATACAAAACAGTGACTCTGACAGAGGATAATACCACTGTTTGTATTCATCCTTTGTAATTTTTATCATGTTCTTGTTTAACCATCAGATGCATCTCTCTCAAATATCTAAACTGGTTGGTGAGTTCCCTGTATGTATATCCACATCGATCTCTTTGGACTATTTCCATTATTGGAATGATTTCTCTGTGTTTCAAGAATTTTATTCTTCATAACTTCTCATTGCTCCTCAGCTGACTTCCCCAGTAGAATTTTAAGCCATGGTTGAGAAGAACCAGAAGAACATATAAACAGTAACAACAACAAAGACAGTTTTCAAAGATGTTAAGAACTCTAATCAATGTAATCATTTACTATGACAACTGAGGGCTCATGATTAAATATGCTACCAATCTCCTGACAGGGAGGTGATTGATTGATTGACTCTCAGGGTACATGAGACACACACTTTCTCTCTCTCCCTCTCTCTCTCTCTCTCTCACTCTCATTCTCTCTCTCTCTCCACACCCTATTTCAAGAAAATTAAGCAAAATTTCCCTTTCACTAGCTAAATTGATCAGTTATTTCTAGAACAGTAATAAGGGTAGGCTAAGTAGATTCAAAAGATTTTCATGAGAAAAGTAAAATGTTTCATTTCACTGCCAGGCACTGCACTGTTGAATGCATTTACATTTCTAATGGAGTTGGACTCCTATGGAGTGTTACTCCACAGCAGAATTAAGACTTTAACAAAATCATTGGTGCTGGCTTGGCTCCTCCCCCCTCCCAATGACTGAGTGCTGTTTATAAGGAAAACCCAAGTCAAGAGAAGCAAGCAAACTCACATGGAAGAAATGTCATAGCTCTAGATGACGGAATCACAGATCAATAGTTAGAGCTGCAAAGGACCTTACAGCACATGTTCTTAACTTTTGTTTTTTTTTTTAATATTTGAAACTGTATTTCAATATAAGTAATTTACCTTGTAATAGTATATATTTTATTTTATACATTCATAAACTTTATTCTGAAAAAGCAGTCAAAGTGGTCCATGACACAAAATTGGTTAAGAATTCCTGCCTTAGAGATCATATAAGACAACCTCTTGATTTTGCAAATGAGGAGGCTGAGGCCCAGACAGAAAACAAAAAACACAAACCCCAAAACTTACCCAAAGTCACACAGATCATAGAGGGAAGAGGTAAGATTTGAACCTAGGAATTTTGAGTACAAGCCTAGAATTTTTAAACTGTCCCAAACTGTGCCATGAATGAAAAAACATCCATATTCTTTGATCTCATCACTAATACATTCTAATGGTCTGAATCACTGGTTAATTTAAGTATATTAATATTATATAAATAAATACTTCCTTTTCCCAAATGATTATTACCCCTTTTATATCTATATAATAGAATTACATTGGTTATAAGAACTCTTAAAATTATTATTAGAAAATGAAAAGCAGCCTTGATTTTTCCATTGAATTTGTATGATAGGATATTTTTCTTCAAGATAATTGGTTCTCAGAAGGCAAATGATTTTTCAAAACTAACTGAATGGTAATGGTACTTTGAATCTGCAAGAGCAAGAGGTGGGACAATGTTTTCTATTGTAAATAATGAAATAAAAAAATATGCTGTATTCAGTAGCTTGGCTTATCTAGCTTCAAAAGGGAAGACTGCTATTTATCACCTTCAATATGGGCTGTTTATTAAGCAGATTTATCAATGTAAAAGAAAGTGTAGCTTTCTATAAATCAATAAAAAGAATATCAGTGAATGTCATGCCACAGAAAATGCTATGCATTAAAAATCAATGAAAGCCAAACTATTTGAATTAGA